AGTTGGTCACACAACAAATGCAATGCAAACTTTTTGACTAGAAAAGCATTTAATAATTCTGGTCCACTAGGACAAAGTAACAAGTAGAAACAAATATCAAGGGCACACATGGAGTTAAGCCTGGTAATCAAAATGAGGTAGCAAGCTGATTGCTTTATGGTTTCAAATACTTCAAGATCAAGAGAATTCAGGTAGATGCAGAAGTGGAAGGTCTTCTTCTAGTTCAAGTATGGCAGCAGGAGAGAGAAGAGAACCAGCAATCATCCAGCTCCTTGTCAGCATTTGCTTCACTCAGGTTTAAGCTTTTTCATTTAGACTTATGTTGGTTAAACATAAATGAAGGAGGAGGATTTTACTGAAAACAATTCTTAAATCCAATGCTTGAAACAGGAGGAAAAAGGAAAAAAAAAAAACTGCTCCCCTGGTAAAGCAATGAGATAGTACCACTGTATCTTGTCGGAAGAAGTCTAATTAAATCCATAATTTACAATTAAAAATAGATAATGCATTGTATACATGACAAAGCCAAGATAATTAGGCAATCAGTAATGACTTGGCAGGTTTAAACAGACTATTGTTACAAACTCAAAGAATTAAGAACAAACAAGGATCTGGCTCCCTAACACTATAAAAAAATATTCATATTGCATTTGAGCCCAGAAATCCCAGTTGATCTCAGCTTCATTGTTAAAAATCAGGTCTCTATTTTGTTGAAGTACCTGACCCAACTCCAATTAAAGTAGTTTTGGGTTTGTACACTGACTTCAGCGGAAGTTTGTTAATTGACCAAAATGACAATATTCATCTGAGTCAGATTATCATAATCAAAACCAATGAAATTGACCACCTTTATTGGGCAGAAGGAAGAAGAGAACGATTCTGTTCACTCCTTGTCCTTTGCATAATCTGTAAAATGTAAAGTGCACCTTCTGAACATTTCTAAAGCAGACAGGTTAATTTTCAGAAAAACATGATTGATTACTAAAACTGCTTAGGACTGTACCATCTTCGATAACTGAGTTACATATTATAAAAAATAGAGATTAAAAATAGATTGTGGATTCACATGTACCACAGTTACCATCATGTCTAGTGTAAAATCATTTGTAGTTTAAAGAAAAAAAAAAAAATCATCAGAATGGTTTAGTTTAAAAGTGGAGGTCCACAGAGTCCCTGTCAAAAAACATTATACTCTGGGTTTTTTGACAGGTGGGTCCTGAAGACTGAACTTTGGAATTTCACATGAAGGAGCAAAAGGAATTCTTTTTGCTGAAACTTTCTTCCCAATTGTTTCAATCTGAAAGACGAAATCATATTTGGCAGGTTAGCATGACAAAGTATGCTATATTAAACTTCTGTTTGAAAAAAAAAAAAAAAAAACTAGTTTTTTTTTTTTTTTTTAAAAAAAAAAAAAAAAAGACTAGCTTATTTATTTTAACATTACTACAAAGCTAAGAGGATCCAGTTTGTTTCAACTAGTCAAACAAAATTATATGGGAAGTTTCTATGCACAAACCAGGTATTGCCATTTCCACATAACGAGCCTGATCTTTCTTTCATTTCTGTCTGTCTAGCTACACTGGCTTCAGCTACTCCCAGTCTAACCTAGTAGAAGCAAGTAGAAAAACAGGCCCAGCGAATTCAGCTCACCAGCAAAACAATTAAAAGACCCAGGCATTGAACGAGTAAAGCTGTACCTCCTGTCTTGACTGAGATCTGGTATGTTGCCTAAACTTTCAAAATAAAACTGTGCACATACAAACAATGGTTTATTCCTCAAGGCCCCTGGAAGACCTGTTTGCTTAAAAAATTAAATCATGCAATAAATTGTAACATACCACACATACAAGCAAGTTATTGTGGGGAAAAAAAGTGGCAAGCCACCCAGAAAGAGGTTACTGGTTCAACTCTGGCTAGTTTGTATTCTGCTTTATATTGAGCATGTGGTATATACTCAGCTCTCCCTCCCCTATTCCAAGGGATAGAGAGCATCAAGCTCCCTGACAGCACCTCCCCCCAACAGCAGTTACCCGTCAGGAGGTTTGCAGGCAGTCCTGTCCTGGTTTCTCTCTGCAGCAACCAGGAAAGGGCTGCCACCAGCAGAAGCATTCCTAGGCTGGGAATCTGGCACCCCCTGTTCTCCCAAGTAGCAACACTGGGATTCCCAGGTCTGAGTTACAGGTAAACCCTTGAAAGTTCCCAATACCTGAGAATGCAGAACTAGATGGGGCAGCTGTGTCCCAGTTGCAGAGGCAGCCCCATGTTTGGGACAGCTGTGTTCCACCCCCCGCCTCCCCTCATTAAAAACCCAGTATTGGGAAACCGATCTAAAGGTCCAGAAGCCAGCAAGATGAAATGGTGCTGTGGGAATCAGGGCTTCTGGTGTTGGTTCCTGATGCTACAATTGAAGGTCTGGGCATGAATGAAGACCAGGATTGGGGATCAGGTCTCTGATCTGGGGCTCCAGATTAGCAGATGCGCAATGGGATCCAAAAAGTTTTATCCTGGATCCCAAATACTGCATTACCCATCATGCAGGTCTGGCATGGCAAGGCACAATTTGGGGGATCCAAGGTAAAATTCCTACAGATCCCATCATATAATTAAATTAATGTAAGACATGTGACAAAGGACCAAACAGTGACATGCTAGAGACCTCAAATGATGGATAATTGCATTGGCCACCTAGTTAGCCAGCTAACTGCACTGGGGCACTCACAGAAGCTAAGCTGTTCAGAAAACTAATTTCAGCTTATAAAGCTTGGTTTATAGAGTTTGAGGTCTACTGAGGAAAACATTCATTTAATTGGACTTCTGTTTAGTTCAGATTCAAATGCGAGTACTAAAGAAAATATATTCTTGTGTAGGTTATTCACTCAGATGTAGCAATTCAACAAATCATTCTGTTCCTGCCAGAAGTGTTAGGCACATCTGAAAAACAGATTTATCGATGTTACTGTATGAAGAAGGAATATCCTGATGTAACTTGGATTCTAAAAGAACATCAGTTAACAAGCTGTAAGAAATGAGCAGCCTTAAGATTTTTCTTGACCTCAAGCATCTCTCTCAATAAGAGACTGAGCTCAGCAGGGAACCTGAGGACCTCCTATGTCTCAAGAGAGAGAGAGACTTATAAAGGATGGAAGGCTGGAATACTAACCAAGGAGAAGTACTCAGCACTGGTCTGTACCTGCAGGGAGCGGATCAGGAAAGCCAAGGCTGCAACCAACCTCCATCTGGCTTCATGCATCAAGGATAACAAAAAAAGTCCTTTTTCAGATATACAGGGAGTTGGAAAAAAAGCAAGGGTAACATTGGACCCCTGCTGAACCAAACAGGACAGCTGATAACTGACACCCAGGAAGAGGCCAACCTGCTAAATAGGTACTTTGCGTTGGTCTTTTATCAGTCCAATGGGACAGCCCTGCCTAGCTGGACATGGAACAGCCAGGGTGAGGGTGTATTTATACGTAGCATTGGTGTTGATCCAGTAAAGGATCACCTTGAGAGGCTGGACACTTTCAAGTCAGCTAGTCCTGACAGATTACACCCTAGGGTACTCAAGGAGCTGGCAGGTGTCAGAGCCCAACCATTGGCAAAAATATTCAAAAACAAACAAACAAACAAACAAACAAAAAAACCTCATGGCACTCAGGTGAAGTACCTGAAGACTGGAAGAAGGCCAACGTGGTACCCAACTTCAAGAAAGGGCGGAAAGTAGATACCGGGAATTACAGGCCAATCAGCTTGACCTCAATCCCCTGTAAGATTCTGGAAAAATTATCAAAGAAACCCTTCTTGATAAGCTGGCTGATGGCAACATCGTGAGGGACAGCCAGCATGGGTTTGTTGCAGGTAGGTCTTGCCTGACCAATTTTATCTCCTTCTATGACCAGGTAACATATCACTTGGACAAGGGAGAAGTAATTGACATCATATACCTGGACTTTAACAAAGCCTTTGATCTGGGTGTCCCATGATCTCCTCCTGGAAAAATTGGCCAACTGTGGCATCAGCTACACCATAGTCCGATAGCTGGGAAACTGGCTCCAAGGTCAGACCCAGAGAGTAGTAGTTGATGGAAGTGAATCATTATGGCGCTCCATGACCAGTGGTGTCCCCCAGGGCTCTGTCCTTGGACTGGTTCTCTTTAACATCTTTATCAACGATGTGGATATTGGTGTTAGAAATGCACTGGCCAAGTTTGCTGATAACACTAAACTTTGGGGCATAGCATCCATACCTGAGGATAGGCCAGTGATCCAGGCTGACTTGGATAAATTTAGTAAGTGGGCAGACACAAACCTGATTATGTTCAATACCAAAAAATGTAAGGTACTCCACCTCGTGGGGGAAGGAGGAGGAAACCACAGCATATTTATAGACTCGGTAGTGCTACGCTTGCTAGCACTGCTGCTGAAAGAGACTTGCAGGTCATGACTGACCACAAGATGAACATGAGCCACCAAAGCGATGTCACAGCTGGTAAAGCAAACAAAACCTTGGCTTGCATCTATAGATGCTTCTTAAGTAAATCTCAAGATGTCATCCTCCCACTGTACTCAGCCTTGGTAAGGCCACAGCTGGAGTACTACATCCAATTCTGGGCTACGCAATTCAAGAAGGATTTCAAGAAGCTTGAGAGAGTCCAGAGGAGAGCCACACGCATGATCACACAGCAAGAGAATAGGCCTTATGAAGAGAGGCTGAGAGCCATGGGATTCTTCAGTCCAGAAAAGCACAGGCTCAGGGGGGAGCTGGTGGCTGCTTATCAGTACATAAGGGATGTACATCAGGATCTGGGAGAACATCTGTTCATCAGAGCGCCCCAAGGAAAAAACAAGGATCAACACTCAAACTCCTACAAGACATAAGAAAAAATGTCTTTATGGTCCGAGTCCCCAAGACCTGGAATAGACTCCCTGCAGAAGTGGTGGAGACATCTACTCTGGACTCATTCAAGAAACGCTTGGATGCTTATCTTGCTGGGATCCTTTGACCCTAGCTGACCTTCCTGCCCCTGGGGCAGGGGGCTGGACTTGATGATCTTTAAGGTCCCTTCCAGCCCTAACGTTTATGAAATCGATGAAAAAGGAAAAAAAATGCTCATTACCTGGAAGCCAATGACTTGTAGCTCATTATGAAGATCATCAAGAACTCTTCTACCATCAAAGATGAAAGATGGCTTCAGCATCTTTTTGTGAATGCGCTCATAATTCAGCTCCTGTAGAGGCACCACAGATACTCCATGAAAGTGTCAGAATCCCCCCCCCCCCGGTGTCACATTTTACTTTAAAGCTTGCAGTTTTACCTTGAACATGTCCCACTCAGTGCAGATCACAATGGCATGAGCTCCATCACAGGCTTCATATGGATCTTTACTAATAGTGACCAACCGAGACACTGTAAACAAGGAAGAAAGTGAGAAAATGCCATGTGTACAATAGGAGTGCTTCACAGCATGGCTGTATAAATATAAACACATCAGCAAGCCTCTCCTAGTGTGAACATAAATTAGGCCAGCAAGACTGCATATAGCTTATTCCAGCACCTTGCTACCTCCTTGCACAAAATAAGTAAAACTGGACTTCTGCCAGTGCAGAGGTACACCTATGGGTACACTATGGGCTTTGTTAGCACAGCTATGCTGGAAACAAAAACTACATCTCATCATGTTTCTGGCTGCCTACCTATCCTAGAATACATGTAGGGTAGGCCTGATCAAGCTAATACCAGAGCAAGTTCAAAACCTCACACTTCACCTGGCTAATAAAAGCTGACAGCAAATTGCTGGTGGTGGTTGTATTATGAATCCTTATTTTATAAGTGTATTTGTCTCCTATACTTCAAATAAAGTCATTTAAAAATATAAATAAGCCTAAAATATATCCTAGAAAACAACCACTGTAGCACTACAGATTCTATAATGTAAACCCCCCCACAGCTATTAAGTCAAGTTATTGACATTTACTATGCCTCTCTCGTTAGCCAGAGAGGTTCAAGGGAACTGTAGCAAATCTTTTCTGGGCAGCATTATCCAGACTAAATAGATACCATGTAAGAGAAGTCGATAGAAAAACAGTCTGTTATCCCAAGATCCTTTTCCTTCCTTTTGATTAAGAGGGTGAGGAAGTAAGACAGAACTCTGCACAGCTTTAAAAGTTAATCTTTTGGCAAATGACAATGAACAGATTAGCACAGAAATATGCAAATATGTAAGCACTTTAGCAACTATGAAGAGTGGCTAATTAAAAAAAATCTTAACACTATTTTAAAGAAAATCAGTTCTCTGCTTTGTTGGGTTAAACCAGAACATACCATGGGCCAGCTAAAACCAATTTCTAGGGATATTTATAGATGTGCGTGTGCATCCCCGCACTGAAAAAATGGCAGAAAGGGCACTTTAAAGCTTGTTCGGGCCTTAGTTAGAAAGCCCCCCGCCACCATTTTTCAGAGCAGGGATGCTGATGCATATGATGCTGGAGTATGATCATTACTCTGATCAAGTCTGCTCCAACAGGCAGTAATTACAGAGTATTGGAGCAGCCTTGCTGCAAGTCTATATGCGCCCTAAAAACATCAGATTCGTTCTGGTAACATCCACGAAGCAAGAAGTTATGAAAAGCAAAATTCTCTTACCTTGGTCATCTTCCGAGACGCCTGGATGCGAGAGATCCAGGATGATTTGTTCCCTTGGCACTTTAGGATCATATATATGGAGTTTTGCTCCTTCATCCATTAGATACTTGCTGATGTAGATACTGGAAGACTCTCTAAAAGGAAATAAATGAACCAATTAATAAGCCTTACAAATGTTTGGGTTTATTTTGAACAAAGGCATATACGAACACTTTCAGTTGTATGCTCTTAGAGCTTTTGAACAGGTTTTGCATTGATTACCACATTGCAGCAAAAAAGCAACGTTAGAAAAATGTGGTTTCAAAAGTTAAAAAAACCCCAACAAATAAAAAAACACCCCAACATTAGTTTCTAGTTGCCAGACAAAAAAAATCCATTACAGAGTTTAAAGGATACATTTGTAAGACATACCTTAAACACTGTTTACATCATATTTAGACTGTACCAAGAACACAGTTTAGGTAAGTTGTGTGAACAAGGCCAAGCTCTGCTAGATATTCACAGATTGCAAGACCTGTTTGATCATGCAGGACTCTTCTGCCGAGTCACATCAAACAGATACTAAAATCTCAGGATTATGTATTAGAACAGTTATCGATGATTCATACCAGCAAGGACACCCACTTGGCTCCAAGCAAGCACTAGATGCAATGGGAATGCCTCTTACATTAAAAGGGAATTTGTTGAGGGATTTCATAGACATTAGGGTTGGAAGGGACCTCAGAAGACTATCAAGTCCAGCCCCCTGCCCTAGGTCACAGGAAGTCAGCAGGGGTCATAGGATCCCAGCAAGATGAACATCCAAAATTTCTCTTGGAGGCATGGATGATCCCAACTATAGCTGGAGAGCCATGACAGTGGCTAAGCCTCTTATGGAAATTAATGCCAAGGTGTAGGCTATGTTAATGTTTCCAGCTAGAGGGGCAGAGAAAGTATCTGCATGTTTTATATTAGATAGTTTGCTTTCACTCAGTTCAGTGGGTTTTCTGTCAATGTAAGTATAGTACTTGTGGGTCTTCACCATTGTATTATCCGTGCTCTAGACATATCTGCAAAGCTTTCTAAAAATCTGCTTTAAAAAAAAAACAAAAACAAAACAATTTGGCCTCAGGCATTTAACCCAGAATAAACTAGTTCAGATATAACAGGTAATTTATTTGTTGTCCTTTTCCATGCATACAATTGAAATAATTGTTTAACAACTGTTTTTGCAATGTCGATGGAGCCAATGATAGGTAAGTACTGTTAACAAGACTGATGAATCTCGTTACCTTGTGTCTCCCGTGTCTTTTTTAAATGCAAATCCTAAAATAGCAATCTTCTTGTCAGTGACAGTGTTAAACAAACTGTCAATGATATGGGAAGCAAATCGTCGTCTCTGATAGTCATTCATGTCTATTACCTGGAATTAGGCAAGAGGTGGTGGTAGTAAAGTTAAAATTACTTTTGACAGAAGAAATTTATCATTTCCAATAAATACTAGAGGCTAATAAATACTCAAGGGTAGGAGTAGGCTGTATTTGCCAAGACTCTGCTCTCGATTAGGGGCAAGTTAGAGCCAAACTAGATGGGAATGCAGGTTTTAATATTAACACATTAAAAAAGAATATTTTTACTAAGTAACTTACTAGTAACTGAAGGATCAATCCTCCTAGTTTACTACAGGAGCTGAGAAAAAGGTTTCATCTGGACTATATACAACAGTGGACTTCCCCTCCTCCCACATCCCACAACTGATTTTGTATTCAAAGAAACCACCAAGAGACACATTCTGTCCTCATGGGCAAAAGTTCCACTGAAGATGTTTAAAAAAACAGGTACAAACTTCTTCGCTTAAATTTTAAATGCTACGCTGTAGCTGTTATGCATCTAGTCTTTTATGATCTAGGCTCCCCATAGATCATAATGCATTCTTATATTTAATTTTTTTTTTTAAATGCAGTGTTGCTTTGTTATCCCTTCAAATATTTCCTTAAAACAAAATAAACAGAAACATACAAAAGCACCTAAAGTATTAAATAAGCCTCTTTGGAACAGTATAGTTCTGGGAACTTAAACAAAAAAAAAAAAAAAAAATCAAGGGCATCTCACCCCCAGATGAGAGTAAGCTGTATACTTTGCTCTGTACATACATAGTACTTCTAGTTGATGCTAGAAGTGTCTGAGAGCTATGTCAGTTTCATGAATACTGAAATACATGTCAGTACACAGAGACTGGCTTGAGTTCCAATACTAACAACATCCTTTACATAAAAAGTGGGTCCGAGAATGGCTTTGAAGACTTAACTAGGTTACAGTCTACATGCCTGTTGCACAACTACCTTCACTCCTCCCCATCATACCTTTTATCCTTTGGTCTCTTAAAAAGTATGGGGATTCATTCAGGATTGCTTGCCTCCAATTATAAAGAAAGAAGAACAAGCTCTCTCAGTCTGCAATCAGAGTTTAGCAAGGATCAAATAAAGCAGGCAATCCAACCATAAACTTGAACAGGGTCTTATTTCAACAAGGAAGTCACAGATCTGGAGCAGTGTGAACAGGGGTGTCTGATTTACTTCAGGTATAAACTGTGCAGAAAATAGATGTCATCAGCAACCTAATGTAACTTGTATTGATTTGAGTTTTGGTGAGTGAACCAAGTCATTGATTATATTTCATACATTAAGGGAGAGACATCAGTTGGGGAGACAAAAAAAGTGAGTCAAAAAGATCTGGGGAAAAATGTATTTACAGACAGAAGTGGCCTCGAGTAGCAAGGATTTTAAGGTTCTATTATAGACTTCATTATTTTTCTCAGATTCCAAAACCTTGGCTATTCACAAACTTGTACTGGTTTAATCAAACCACCTATGCAACCACTTATGCAAACACTTAATCTGATTTAAAAGCAGCTTAATTTGGTTATATTAAACTGGTTAAGAAGAGATTTAAGGTAAGCCAATACACGACACACCTTTATCCCAGTATATTTGCACTGGATTTAACAATATCTTTTTCTAAACAAAGATATTTGAACTATACAACTCACTGCGCAATCAGACCTCTACACCAAAATAGGACTCCAAGCTGCTTTTAACTAACACCTTCAACTTGCAGTAATTCAGCTCTCCAAGCTTCTCTTTCTATTTTTTTTTTTTTTTTGGGGGGGGGGGGGGGGGTTTTTT